TCAAACTTAAATGTGTGTTATATAATTTTCATTTTCTGGAGAGCTGGGTTGTTAAACATTTATCAGCATACTCCAGTCTAGAGAGGATTCCCTCTGTGTGCATGTTGGACAAGATGGATGCTGAGATCTATCCCAACACTTAAGAATCTTTGATTCCCCCTATCTTGGCTCTCAATGTATTCCTTTGGATGTAATAAGAAGGAACCCAGTTTCTAGAAGATATTTGGTCCAATTCCCCTCCATCGGACCCTATCCCTGCCTGACTTTCTGTCTCTAGCTCAGATGCTTTGCTACCCTGGCCTTTTAAATATGGTTTATGGGGCAGCTAGGTGGTACAGTGGATAGAGCACTGGCTGGCCCTGGAGTCAGGAAGACTTGAGTTCAAATCTAGCCTCAGACACTTGACACTTAATAGCTGTGTGATCTTGGGCAAGTCATTTAACCCCCATTGTCTTAGAAAAAAGAATATGTTTTACTTCTGTCTGCTTTTGAGTGACAAGTGTGTGTGTGTGTGTGTGTGTGTGTGTGTGTGAGAAAGAGAGAGAGAGAGAGAGAGAGAGAGAGGGAATGAGGTCATGGAAAGAACACTGGACTTCTGGTAGGAAGATTGGGGTCTAGCTAGGTGCACACGAAGAATCTCAACTGTTTGGCATCAATATGGTGAGGTCCTGAAAATGGGACCACCATTTTGTCTAAGCAGAGGTGAACTGGTCCACATCAGAAACTGAAATCAGTGGTAAGATCAGGCCCATGAACAACCCCCTGTATTTCTAGCGTGAGTGAAATAGGAGACCTAATTAAAAAAAAAAAAAGATAGTGGTCCAGTGATACCATCAATGTGGGGAAAACTCCTTGTGTGAAGATTCCCTCAACCAATACAGACTCGCAGCTTGTTAGTAACTTCTAGCCCTAGAGCAGGTGTCCTTAGCCCCAATCTGTGAATTTATTATATTTAAAAATATTTTGATAAATATTTTAGTATAATTAATAGTCATGTATTTTATGCAATCAAAAACATTATTTGGAGAAAGAGTCTATGGGGCTTCATCAGACAGACAAAGAGAGCCATGTCAGAGAGAATTGTCTGGGACCCCGAGGGGTCTTCGAAGCCCTAGCTGCACGGCTCCCTAACCCTAACCCTAACTTCAAAGCCAGGCTCTAGACGTCCCATTACTTCCTATGAGTCATTAATATTATTGTAATGCTATGCTATAATGTAATATGACCCAATGTTCTAAAATGATTTATTATGAAAAGATCAACAGTTCATTTAGAGGCAGGATGGATTGGTGGAAAGAGAGCCAAGTTTGGTAACATGGAGTCACAGGACCAGAGCTCAAGTAGCAGCCTTGTCACTTATTAATAAGTTGTGTGATATTGGGTAAGTCATGTTTCCTCATCTATAGAAAGAGGGGGTAGGGCTAGATGGCCTTTGTGGTCCTATCCAGCTTAGATTCATAATCCTATGACTTTCACCCTACTGGTGTGACTTTGATGAGATACTTAGCCTGGACAAGGGAACACAGGGGAATATGATAGCTGACTTCAAATATCTGAAGAGGGTGAATGTGGAAGAGGGACCCAACTTATTCTCTGGGACCGTAGGGGACAGACAGAGCTTAGAGTAGTGGGTGGGAGTCCCAAAGTGACAGATTTATCCTGGATGTAGAGAAGAACTCCTCAGCAATTCAAGCTGTTTCCAAATGGAATGGAAGGTTGTGGGTTCTCTCCCACTGGAGATACTCAAGTAGAGGCTGGGTGACCACTTATAAGGTACATTGTAGTGAGAATTCTTCCAGGTATATGTTGGAATTATATTATATTATATCATATTATATTATGTTGGTATATGCTGAAATTCTATGGGGAAAAGGTGTGGAAGTCTCATCTTACTCATCTGTAAAATGGAAGGTTTCGGAGAGTTGGACCAGATGAGCTCTAAGGATTCTTCTAGCTCAAAATGCGAGGTTCCCATTTTTTAAAAGTTGGGGGCAAGAATAAGCAAGCTGTTATGGTTATTCATCCTTTGTTTTCTAAGATGACCAGTGACATCATGGGTGATGTTTTGACCGGCTCTAACTATATTTGGAGGGTAGGGAATGAGCAGATAAATGCTTTAGGGTTACCTATGATGGGAGTTGAGCCAATCTTTCAAACCAAACATATCCTTCAGAACTCTGCTCAAATTCCAGCCTTGGACTTCCCATCTCTGGCAAACCCCTCTCACTTAAGGATACAGTTCAGCCAAGCACTCATGGTTTCCTTTCCTATTTACTTTTTGCCTGTATTTGTCATGTTGTTGAGATCATGCCACATGAGGACTGGAGGAAGGAGCCTATTTATAGGACTAGACCCTTCTTAAGGAACCATAAGAGAGACCACAGATTGGGAGCTAGAAGACACATCACAGACCATCTACTCTGAGCTCCTCTTTTTACAGAGGAGGAAACTGAGGCCCAATAAGTTTAACCCACTTGACCAAGGTCATACCTGTCTATGACTCGGCAGAGAAGTCCAAGAGAGTTGTCTGAGGTAGAGAAGTTAAGGATCAGTCACACAGTCAGTACCAGAGTCAAGACTGAAATATATGTCTTCTTCCTGACTCCCAGTCCAGCATTCTATCTACTTCCCCATTCTTCCTCTGTTCTACACATGCCAAATATCATATGTCCTTGGGTACGTTCATATTTATCTCAAAAAGCCTTTATTGCTTTTAATTAACAAGCATATATTAAGTACCTACTATGTGCCAGGCTAAGCACTTTACAAATATTTTCTCATTTGGTCCTCACAACAAACCTGGGAGGTAGATTATTATCCCCATTTTGCAGTTGAGGAAATGAAGGTAAACAGATGTTAAGTGACTTGCCCAGGGTCACACAGCTACCAAGTGTCTGAAGTCAGACTGGATCTGAGCTCTTCCTGATTCCAGATTCAGTGCCCTATCCACTGTGCAACCTAGCTGCCTCTAAATAATTGATCATTAACATTATATACTTGCTGCACAAATGGGCAAGGTGTCCTTTGAACATCTATTGACATTTTGGCTGGGCTGGGTTGGGGAGGGAGGGTCATCCTGTGACATAAGAGAGAAGATAATTGGTTCAGGAATTGAACATGATATATTTTACCCACATCATAGAGCATCACAGCTGGGAGGGGTCTTAGAACAGGGAATATCAGAGCTGGGAGGGGCCTTAGAACAAGGAATGTCAGAGCTGGGAGGGGCCTTAGAACAAGGAATGTCAGAGCTGGGAGGGGGCTTAATGATGTCATCTTGCTCCCTCATTGGCATGGACCTCTACCAAAGTGGCTAACTCATCCCAGCCTCACTTTGTTTTGGGGGTACAGGGATACTGAAAATATACACTTACCACCATTCAGGCCGCCATGGATCTCCATTGCCGAGACTTTCTGCCTCTCAGTTAGGTCAAGAGTTTGGTTACCAGGGCTGCTGTTTCCCTGGCCCCATCTCCCAGTCAAAATAGAAGCTCACACTCAAGCATTATTATACAATTCTGTATTTTTAGTGGCTTGTTTACAGAACTTGTTCATTTTTAAAATTTTTAACAAAGTTCGTCAATCTCTCATAGAAACTTTTTTTTTTCCCATACAGTACATGAGCCCAACGAAAGGTGTTCACAGGTCCACTAGCTTTGAGTACAACAGGATTTCCGTGTTTGAAGACTATCCTAAGTGCTTATTCCAATCCCGTTCCACTAAAGCTAAGGTTAGCACTCGATGAAGAGTAGTATGTGTGTATGCCTAGATCTCAGTACAGCGTTGGTTTCGACAGTAAAAATAGGTCCATTTCCATGGTTCGCTTGGTTGTGACGGGGCTATGGTCGTGAAACGAAGGTGGTCTCTCTATTCCAGGTTCATTCCTTTTTAAAATTGGTCACTGTTAACTACTGCCAGAATATAAAAATACCTTCATTTGGATAAAAATGTATACAGTGGAAAACTCTTCGATGCATAGCCTAGGTGTGTGGAAAGGTTAAGTTTTCCCCGTCAGGGTTCGCCTGGGCCATTTGGTACGGAGGTTCCGCTTGGATGACTGAGGGGCCCATGGCCAGACATATTAGAATTGCATTCTCTGGAACAACCTCAAGTCTTCTTGCATCCTCCCTGTGGCTTCCTGGTGCTTCGACAGAGTTGTTTCATACCCTCCCTCCCAAACTCTCTAAGCCCCTCATCAATTATATCTGTCTCTCTTGAAGGCAATTAACTTTCCCTGCCTCTGGCTGTCCTGATTTAACTTTGGATTCGACCAATGGATTGGACAGTCTTTTAATGGAGAAGTCAAAAAAAAAATTTAAAAAGAAAATGTCAGTTCCACATGCCACCCATGTGGGGGAAAACCCAAAAGAAACCTACAAAGCTTGCCACAGCTAAGAAGTTGGAAACCACTCAAGTGGGGTTGTTGACTTTGAATCTGATGGTCTTCTAGAGCAAGTATGCTGGACAGATCTGGGGAAGGTTCGGTTGAGAGCAGCTGTTGCATAATTGGCCCTGCCCACTGATGCTTGTGGTCTGAGACTCTGGCCTCTGAGATGAGGATCTTATCAAGTCACAGAGGAAGGGACCGATCCCATCCTACATTCCATGTTCCCCAGATCCAGCTCTCTAGACCTACAGTATTTGAGTTTTGAATGCTGTCCAACGACCTCAAAACAAGATAGAAGGTATGAAGGGAAACCGAAGGTTTTCAATTTATTTTCTCAGTCCATTCCCAGGGCTAGAAGGATGATGAATTCTGTGGCTTTCTCAAAAGATGAGGAAGGAAAGGATGATGATGGTTATCTTATCCCAGGGAAGGGTAGAATAAAGGCAGCATCTTACCCTGGGGTATGCCCCAACTCTTGGGGAAAATCTACCAAGGTGTCATAACTGGGATTCCATGTTTGTGGGCAAAGACCTGCCTAGGCCAAGGATTTCTCAACATCTCTGGGTAGTCTCCCTATTCCCCGCCACCCTCCCCCCGGGCTGGGTTCCAGCTTTCTCTCCAACCCTTTTGCCCCTTACCCACCCGCACTCACACACAGGTCACTTTGGGGATTGGGAAATATGTTTTGTCCATGGACGGTGCTTGGCTTCTGTGGATTGCAGGTTTCTAACTAGAGGAAGTGTAAGGAATTTTTTTTATGTACCATGCTACATCTCGCTCAGGAAGGACTACCGCCGACATTTCTACAACATATACAACGGCACATGACATTCGGTGTTACAAGGGGTTTCAAAAAACATACCACCAGAACGAAATATATACTCGATGGCATCAAAGTTTTGCATTTAGAGTCTTTTGGGACTTTTTTTTTTCCTTTTTTTTTTCAACAGTCTTGGAAAGGGCAGTAGTAATGCACTGTCTCACAGACAAATGTGGGGAAAAAAAACCCACGCTTCAGAAGTTACTCCATTTGGTCAGTCTCATAGTGCTTTGTGATGGCTTTGAACAAATGTCTTCTTTAATCTCATCCAGTGGCAAACTACAAGACTTCAGAGACCGTCTGTCTCCAGACAACTGCTACATCGTCCTGACTTATAGCTCTCTTGAATATCAAAGCAGCTTAAACCGTTAATAAATTCGAAAGGATCCTTTATTAAAATAGCTAAAAGAGGTCTATAAATATTTTCTTTTTTTTTTTTCTTTCTAAAAGAGTTCTGAGTTTTCCCAGCGAGGATGGAATGGGGCCGAGCCCACCACCGCCTGCAGGGATGTTGGTCAGGATTGAAGAGAAGGCCTGACTCTGAAACTTCCCACCCATCCCCTCAAAATTTCATGGAATTAAAAAAAAAACAATCCCCACAAATCACAGTCCACAGATAGAGTTTGATAGTTTTGCTTTGTCCCCCTCCCCCATCTTATCTCCCTCGGGCAGAGGGCCTTGCCACCTGAAGGAGGGTGGGGAGTGGGCTCTGAGTTTCAGAATTCCCACTCCATGGCCTCCTCGCGGTTGGCAGCCCTCTCCAACCGGTGGATAATGTTGTTCAGGTTGGCCATCTTCTCGTGCCGCCGCTGGGTGCTGGGGTTCGGCTTGGTGCCGGGGTGCAAAGCCCCAGCTGTCTCTGCAGAGGGGCTGGAACTCGGCACTTTGGCAAGGGTGGCGCCGGGTGGGGAGGGAGAGATGGGGGCCGAGGAGGAGGGCACGGGCGACACGGACATCATGAGGCCGGGAGAGGAGGCGGCCGAGGGTGAGTTCAGGGACACCTCCAGGCTACAGCGGGACGACTCGGAGGTGGATTTAAAGCTGATGGGGTCAGGGTGGAGCCGCTCCCCATCCTCAGTCTCTTGGGGGAGGTGGAGGAGGGGGCAGTCTGGGGTGGCGGGTGCCTGGTGCATGTTGCTACCATGCAGGAGGGCCCCTGAGGTCCTCTTCTGGACTTCTTCCGTGCCTGTGGACTCGGGCAGCTCTTCTTTGAGGCTCGAGCCCTGGTTCTGGCCCATGTCTGCCTCCCCTGAGTCGTGAAGCCCCAAGCCCTCCTCTTCTTCCTCACCCTCCTCCTGCTCCTGCTTGATCACGATCAGGGTCTTGCCCTGGGCAGGGAGAGGGGCAAAGCTGTCACTCGGGCCCTGGAGCTCTAGCTCCTTCACTACGGGCTTCTGGTCTTCGGCCTCTGAGTCTGGGCTCAGGGGGGTGGGTCCCTGGTGGGAGTTGCTGGCTGGCGGAAAGCTGGGGCAGCTGCTCTGGTCTAGGTCAGTGTCATTGTCCTGGGTACCCTCCACCAGCATCTCTCGGCGCATCCTGGACCTGTGGCAGAAACAGAAAGTCAGCAGGTGGTAAGGGCGCGAGAGTGGGGGGCTGTTGGCCCCGTAGTCCCAGAGCGTCCTGGGCTTTGGTTATCCTGGGCAACCAAAGTGATAAGAGCTGGAGGCCATCTCTGCTTGAAATCAAATACATAAAATTGTCAGACAATCAATCTATTCTACCCCAGTGGATTTAAGTCAATAAGTGTATTTTTAAAAAACACCTACTACGTGCCAGGTAATGTGTTAAACTCTGGGGCTACAAAGAAAGGCAAAAAACATGAATCCTGCCTTCAAAAAGCTCAGAATCTAATGATTCACACTATGGAACAAGTGAATGTCCAAGCTGGGAGGGACCTTAGAACAGGCAATGTCAGAACTAGGAGGGGCCTTAGAAGAGAGAATGTCAGACCTGGGAGGGCCCTTAGAAGAGGGAATGTCAGGGCTGGGAGGGACCTTAGAACAGGCAATGTCAGAGCT